GCCCTGGGCAATCTGGTCGAGCCGATGGTTATGTTCTCGAGGGAAAGGAACTCGAATTCTACGTAAAGAAGATCAGATCCAAGAAATAAAGCCAAACAAAATTCTCCCTGCATTCATTGTCATGATTAACTTAATGTAATATGCGGGATTGTTGTCTATATGGAACTCTTGAAGAGCCAATACAAACTTTACATTTAATGAAATGAAAATATATTCTCCGCTTGACACATAATAATTTGCGGGTATTTTGCTTTTTATTATTGAATGGAAGTTTGAGGAAGTGTGACAGTATAAGCCATTTGCATGCATTTTAGACATGCCTCTACATCGTACTATTCGATGAATGACTGTTTCTGAAATATTCCATAAACTATTATTGGCGAATGGGACATATGTCGCCGCTTGAGGCATTTCTGCAGTTGCTTATGACCAGTCCAACGACATTCCATTAATTACGAATGCTCGTTAGTCTATTGTTTTCAGTTCAATATTAGACATAGTATGTTATATTATGTTGTGTTATGTTACGCCAAATCTTTGCAAATACAATCATTCACATCTTCAATGGGACTTCAAATCATAGGATATTACCTTATTAGTTTCCATCCACTGTTTACCGTAGATCTTCAAGTCCTTTCTTATAATCCTTCGCCGCGGAATATAACATAGTTGTTGTCGGTTTCATGTAGTTTAATCTCGTACAAATCATAGCTACGATCTCTCGGAAACGTCCTCAAAAGATTCACCCATATGAAAACGGCCAAATTCTCTGTTGTACTGTCAACAGGAAGAAGAGTTTGTGTTAGATGTTGATCGATGCAACTATATAAATCACGCAAGTCTCGTTGCTAACATTGAAAAGGTATTCTATAGAAAATGACATTACCTCGGCAGTTGGTTCTCTGCAAAATACGGAACATCGAGATCCTAGAGCATCAGGAATGAGTTTACAATAATATTATGATATTTGCTATCCACGCAAGAATTAATTACCAAATTCTTATGATCTAAAACATTCGTTATTGCAACTTCCATGTAACGTTTCAAATCGGTCAAGTTTAGGACCATGCCTGTCTTTGGATCTTTCTTTATTTGATATAAAACAAATACTGTAAGGAACTGTTCAACGAACGTTTAAGATGCAATAAGAGCAGACATGAAAAAAACTAGTATGAAATAACGTACCTCACCTCTTACAATTACTTCGACTAGCCCGTCATTTGTAAGAATGTGTCAATAGAATTGTTTCATGAGAAGCTCGTTGGGAAATATCATGTCACAAAGGTTCTCAAGGTTATACCGGTATAATTATGCCCGTGAAAGTTTATTCCGTTACATTTTCCATAAGTTTGCCTGTTTTCTTCTTCAGTCAAATGCGAGGAGTTTAAGCGGTGCGCAGCCGAGAACTTTTCTACTCGACACAAATAAAGCACTGGACCCATAACACTAAGATTGTGTTAATCAAAATTATCTGTTGTTCGATAAGAGTATGGAAAGTTGGAAAGGGATGTGAGTAAGGAGTTGGGAGACATAACGTTTGTCGACACACCTAACAATAACTGTACAATAATAGATAGAATGTTTCGATTAGTGTCATTATGCGAGGTCATGGTAACAGTGCAATGATTGGTTAGATCTGCATAATAAACTTGAATCTTAACTTTATTCGCACACTCACCTGATTCAATTTGTGCAAGTCATAAAAACCACGACGTCAGTTTGGTTAAAACAAGAGTTCATTCCTACCAAAATTTGGTGGTCCGTGAATAATTAAACCATTGCCACTCTTAGTTCATATATTATAGTAATAAAGTAGTTCAAATACAGTAAAGTAACACGAACGCTATCCAAATTAATACGTTGAATAATGTAATATGCGACAATTCCAATGCTTGAACATTGTTTTTATAATAAAGATCCATATGGTTCTGAAAATAAACACTTCTTTGAGAATCGTGGGAAGCGCCTTGTTGTTAAACAGCCGCACACGTTCTGTCTCAATAAATTATCAGATAAGAGAGTCACATACTGTATATGTAATAGTAATAGAAGAATTGCAAACCGGTTTACCAAAAATCATAAACATAATTAATTTTGAATAAAATTGTTGAGGCTATTTTAAAAATGCGGGT